GCCACATGTTAAATAATTTCATCACGTCTGGGGTGGGGGTGGGGAGCCTGCCTGTATAAAACTAATAATAATCTTTGGTCATTTGGTATCTTTGACGAGTACTTACCACATTCGGGTGTTAAAATTAACTTAGAGTAAGCTCTCTAGCCAAAGTCATTGTACTGTTTCTGGAACTGTGGAATCATTTTGGGTACCATTGTTGCACTACTTTTTTCAGGCTTATGGTATCAGGTGAAAGTTCCACATCAGGTCTTACCTAAATGTACATTTAAATAAGCTCTCAAATGATATATTATTCAGACTCCAGACACTGATTAAAACCAATAATAATCTTTGGTGTGTAGGAAATATTGCCTTTTTGGGGGAATTTTTTCATAATTACTGGGCAGTGTTCAGCCAGAGGGGGAGTTCTAGTAGTGGAGTCCGTTATGTTAAATGGAATTCTAAGGTCAGGATTTTACCCTTGAAGTTTTCCAGATATCCTCATGTAGCTCTAGAATCCCTTTGGTTGTACACACACAAAGCTAAGTCACATGAATACTCCGGATTGTGAATGCTCCGTCTCCTTAGACAGTTTACTCTGCACTCCATAGGCTCTCAGGCCTCCTCCTCTGGGAGTTGGATCACTTTTTAGGCAAGAACATCAACTTTGGTTGCACTGAGCTCTTAGAATCATACTAATCAGATTGTCTCCTCTCAAATGAGGCAGGGAAGTTTTAGTAGAGCTTCCCTACCTTAAAATCACAAATCATGGCTTCACCCTTCTTTCTTTCCCCACTCTTTTTTTCCTCCCAGGAGATATAGGAAGATTAGTTCCACTTTTCCTAAACGATCTGAAGCTTGTAGAGAAATTAAAAATTCTGCCAGTTCTCTTGATAATATCTTTCCATGAAGGAGTAAGTGGCTGTGATGTTAGACTAAATTCAATCCAAGATTGCCATGTGTAGGAAGTTATAAAGAGTAATTTAACTGCTTCCCTTGTATTCAGAGTTGGATGTTTTGTCTCTTTCATTGTAACTCAGTAGACTGTCATTAACATTTATTTTAAAAACACTGCTGCTACTTTCTGGGTCTCGCTCTTCCAGTGTCTAACACTGAATAGAATTAACTTCTGAATTTCCTCACTGACATTTCTATACGCCCCTGAGATGTCACTCTACCACTTTCTATAATTTTATCAGAAATAATGTCTTGTGGTGAATGTGTGAGTAAAATTAAAAACCTATAATTTGACCGTGCACTCTGCGTAGGCACTAAACTTTTAAAACATGGCATTAACAATGTATGGAAAACCAGTCGTCATTAAGTGGGTTTTGGGTTGTTTCCATAACATGTTTAAAAATGCACACAAATGTTGCTTAACCTGACTTTCTAAGTAACTTCTCTCTCGCCTCATTTTTATTGTGAAAAGTGTATACCTGCCCAGCCTCAATGCTGCAGCTATAGTCTGTTAGGGTCAAAGAAAAGTTTTATGTCCACACAGATGATGGATTAAACCATTGAAATGTGAAGAGCAGGGCTTGACAAACTACAGCGAAATCTACTCGCCAGCCCTGCACTGCGCATGTGCGCACCACCGGTGAATGGAGCAATTGGCTGAAATCTACTCGCCCCGGGCGAGTAGATGCACTGATTTGTCGAGCCCTGGTGAAGAGGGAATATAAATCAATATTTATGGCTCCTTTTTTGCTGTTTCTGAATAGTTCAACATTTTAATTTTTTTTTAAAAAAAGGCCTTTACCTTTAGGAGGCCATGTTAGCAAAGTGCTATCACGTTAAGTCAGCCAGTCAAAGCCGCAATATAGCTAGATAGAAGTAGTAGCAAAGATAAATAGTGTAATGTATCTGCACAGGGCTCTAAGTATACAAAATCTATATTCACATCTATATCTGCAAAAATGAGTCATGGACATATGCATTGACATCCACAGATGTGGATACCTTTGGATGTAAAGTGGCTATCTGTAAATTTTCAGGATTCTAGATAGAAAAAAATTTGTATCAACATCATATCAGCAAAAATGAGATATATCTTCAGATTTGCAGGGCTTCTACTCCTTCTGCTGAGACATGAGTTGTCACAAGTTCGGTTGCCTTGAGCCATATTCTCCCTTAAGGGTCAATCCAAGCCTACAAGGATTCCCTCTTGTAGGCTTCTGTCTCAGATGTTAGCACTTTTGGGCACAGACCCACTTGTCTTGACCCAGATTTTTCCAGGCTGCACAATCCTTGAGCAAACTTTTAACATCCCTAGCAAGCCAGAATGCATAAACAGGCAAATGTCTGTGTTTTGCTTTTCTCAAAAGGCTGCAATGTACAGTAAAACTCCAGTTGTCTGGCATCCAGTGGTCTGGCACTCCCGATAGTCCGGCAGCAACTGGAACCCAGAAGTGCTCCGCCCAGCTGGATAATTGAAGCTGCTGTGAGGCCCATGGGTGCTCCCGGCTGGGAAAGGGAAGGGGAGCAAAGGGGAAGGGGATTATACCCACACTGGACCCCCTGGCCGCGACCTGCACTGCGACCGGCCAGGTGGTGGGGAACAACGGGGTGAGAGGTGACCCTCTGCTGTTTTGCAGGAAGGCGGGGGAAGCCCCGCGCCACCGCCGAGAGTTTCCGGGAGGAGAGTGGGCTCCCCACTGACTCTCAGACTGCAGTACTATAGTTATCGCTGAGCAGGGGGGGTGAGGGTCGGCGCTGTGGGACCAACCTGGCAGCATCCCAGCTGCTCTGCAGCTTCCCCAAGTCCGCCGCTCGTCAGTTTCAGCAGAGGAGAACAATTTTTCCTCCCTCCCACCCTTTTAGATACAATCCTGGTTAAGGAGGTAATAGAATAGTCAACTAGCTGATTAACTGATGAGCAAAAGCTTATAGGCTAATGCTATAGACTCCCCCCCTCCCCTCCCCGACAACAGCTGCCTGGGTATTATAGGATAGTTCATAAGAATTCATGAGGTTAATTGACTATTCAATTAAACAATATTTAACATTCCTAATCCTGGCCCACAATAATACATAAATCATTCACTTAATACAATGTACCCCACAGATGCTTAAACTTAGTAAGATTTCCTACTTACTCATATGACAGATATGACAATTTTCTGAAATGTGTTAATAAAAGCATCTGTTTGAGTTACTTCAATAGTTTTCTTAGTTTAAAGCAGTGCCCCTCACTGGAATGAAAAAAAAAAAAAATTAAAAGTGAGAACAAAAAAAAAATTCTGGGATTTGCCACAATACATGGGCTATCATGAACAGTGTTAAAGAAACTTCCAGTTGTCAACTTACCCATAAGTTTTATTGTTTCTCATAACCGAAAGTGCTTGTTTTATTGGATCCCAGTAAACTATTCAGTTTTCAGTAAACTATTCTGTTTTCTTTCTCATAAAATTGGGTGACTAAGAAACAAAATGGCAGCTTAAATTCAATGTAAATAAATGCAAAATTAATGTACATTGGAAAACATCCCAAATTATATATATAAAATTATGAGATTTAAATTAGGTGTTACAACTCTAGTGAAAAGTCTTGGAGTCATTGTGGATCGTTCTCTGAAAACATCCAGTCACTGTGTAGCGGCTAAAAAATTAATGCTAGGAATCCTTAGTAAATTGATAGATATGTATGCAAATGTGGTCTCCCCATCTTAGAAACATATATTGGAATTGGAAAAGATACAGAAAGGTGCAGCAAAAATGATTAGGGGTATGGAGCTGTTTACGTTTGAGGAAAGATTAAGACTTGGGCTTTTCATCTTGGAAAAGAGGTAACTAATGGGGAGGATATGATAGAGGTCTATAAAATCATGACTAGTGTGCAAGAAGGAAGTGAGTATTTACTTCTTCACATAACACATAAGAATGACCATACCGGATCAGACCAAAGGTCCATCTAGTCCAGTATCCTGTCTGCCGACAGTGGACAGTGCCAGGTGCCCCAGAGGGGGTGGACCGAAGAAAATGATCAAGCAATTTGTCTCCTGCCATCCTTCTCCAGCCTTTGACAAACAGAGGCCAGGGACACAATTCCTTACCTCCTGGCTAATAGCCTTTTATGAACCTAACCTCCATGAATTTATGTAGCTCTTTTTTAAACTCTGTTATAGTCCTAGCCTTCACAGACTCTTCTGGCAAGGAGTTCCACAGGTGTGAAGAACTTTTTTAATTAGTTTTAAACCTGCTACCCATTAATTTCATTTGGTGTCCCCTAGTTCTTGTATTATGGGAACAAGTAAATAACTTTTCTTTATTCACCCTTTCCACACCACTCATGATTTTATAGACCTCTATCATATCCCCCTTCAGTCTTCTCTTTTCTAAACTGAAAAGTCCCAGTCTCTTTAGCCTTTCCTCATATGGGACCCCTTCCAAATCCCTAGTCATTTTAGTGGCTCTTTTCTGAACCTTTTCTAATGCCAAAAAATCTTTTTTGAGGTGAGGAGACCACATCTGTACGCAGTATTCAGGATGTGGGTGTACTATAGTTTTATATAGGGGCAGTAGGATCTTCTTCGTCTTAATTTATATCCCTTTTTTAATAATTCCTAGCATCCTGTTTGCTTTTTTGACTGCTGCTGCACACTGCATGGACGTTTTCAGAGAACTATCTATGATAATTCCAAGATCACAAGGGGTCACCAACTGAAATTCATAGGCAGCAGGTTTAAAACAAAGTATATCTTTGCATAACTCTCAGTCAACCTATGGAACTCCTTCCCAGAGGATATTCTGATGGTCAAGATTATAACAGGGTTCAAAAAAGAGCAGGATAAGTTTATGCAGGGTCAATGATGATTAGCTAGGATGGGCAGGGATGGTGTCCCCAGCCTTTGTTTGCCAGAAGTTGGGAATGGACAACTTGACGATTACTTATGTTCATTCCCTCTGAAGCACCTGTCATTGACCACTGTCAGAAGACAATATACTAGGCTAGATGGACCTTCTTATGTTAATTTAAATGAGTGCTGCAAGCACTAATCTATTATTTGTGCTCATTTCCAGTCATCACTGAATTTTGAAAAGCATTCTGAAAATTTATCATGGACAGAGAATCGTTATGAAGCAAACCGCAGACGACACAACTCTTCAGATGGGTTTGATCCTAGTATTGGGCGTCCTAATGGAGGTACAATTTTGTTTCTCAAGAACCACTTATTCAGTGCTTTTTGTTTAAAGCTCTATGAAACAAGCTTATACTGTTTTTACCTGTGCACATTCTCTCCTTTCTTAGTAAAGCATTTAGTGTTTGCATATTGTTACAAGGCTTAATCCAGGAATGGGGAACTTAAGGTCCACAGCTGAGCTTTGGTACCTTCCTGTGTGGCTGGAGCATAACCGCCGTCTCCTGCTACTGGGTGGGGGAGCCTCAAGCCTTGTGGGCTGGATCAAAGCAATCTGTGGGCCACATCAGACCCACAGGCTCTGCCTGTTGGGGGGAAGAAGTGCCTCTGTGTTGTTTCTCTCCCTCGGCTGGGGGAATGGCAGTGGAGGGGAAGCTCTGTCCTTGTGCTCACTTGCAGGCTCCATCCCTGTTGTTTCCATTGGCCAGAAATGGTGACCAGTGGGAGGGAAGGGGTTTGTATTTGCAAGCACAGGGGTGCACAGAGTCATCTGTCCATCTCTCCTGTCTCCCTAGGAGCTGTCAGATGGTGATGTAAATTCCTGTTTAACCAACTAAATGTAACATTTAACCAGTGTTAACCACTTAACCAGGGTCCCATGGAATGGTGGGCTTGGCTGGACTCAAAGGCACCCCTGCACATGGTGCAGGGGGCTGCTCCAGCCCAGCCAGGCACGCTGTGCCATGGACTATTCTGGCCAAGCTGGGCCAAGTCTACCATGGATGGGGGCTACTTGGGCCGGGCCTGCTGTGGTGCAGGCAGGAAGCTGCTCTAGCCTGGCCAGGCTGTCGGTTAAACAGTTAACAGGTTACATCCCTAGTACCAGGTAGGTGCCCCCTCCCACCCAGACCCCGAATGCCAGCCTGTTCCTACCTCCTGCCCAGACCCTCTGTCTTCACCCTGCTCCCAGATAGCCCCTTCCTCCACACTAAATCAATCATTTACCTCCGTCCCAGAGCCTAGGTGACCCCCCACAAAAATCTACTAGTGCCTGGTCCCCAGAAGAGTTATTCTGGCCTTGGGGTAAATCCTGAGCCTTGGCTGGCCCTCTCCAGTCCCCCTTGAGTAGGGCTTTAGCATCTTCTCCCCCCTGCTTCTCAGTTGGGGCCGCGTCTGAGAGGTTTTTTTCCTTTTCACTTTTGGGGGTGGGGGGAAAGGCTGTGTCATTGATGTGGAACAGGGATTCCCCAACCAAAAAAGGTTCCTCACCCCTGGCTTAGTCCCCAGGAGAATGGACGGCCATACAAGGGGTATGTGATACAAGAACAATTCTTTCAGGGCATGAAAGATAGCCTAGGGTTGGTTAGGACAGGGTTCTCAACCTTTTTCTCTGAGGTCCCCCTTGACAGGCTATTAAAAACTCCAGGGCCCAGTGAGGGCGGAGGAAACCTTGGGCATAGGCATAGTTTGACATCAATGCGGGGGAAGGGCCAGCAGATTCAAACAGATTCAGTACATTGGCGGGGGTTCAGGGAGAGAGTGACAACCATGCCCCTGACTCATCTCACCAGGCCACCCAGCTTCTCTAAAAATAACTCAAAGGTGGAGGCTTAACTCAAAACTTGAAAACAGCTTAGGGGGCAGTTAGGGGCTGTGTGCAGGCAGGGGAGTGGCTAGGGGCGGTGTGTGGATGGGGAGGGGTAGTTCAGCATGCAGGAAAGACTCCGAATGTAGGGAGGAAGCCTATTAAGGGTGCTGTACTGAGAAGGGCTCTCCTGTGGGGTCTGCTAGCCATGGAGTCAGGTCTCCACACCTGGATGGTTCTTACCAACTGCCTCTGTAGAAATAAAGATGGCTGTGAGCTGAGGAGCAGCTTCAACCTCAGGACAGCAGTAGACGAGAGAACACAGCTTTTGCCTCCTGCGAGCACCAATCAGAGCAGCAGTTTCCCTGCACTGCCTGGCTCTGGTTTCCTGCTTCTGATCTGGCCAGTAAGGAGGCATGGAGCTGCCTCTGGGACTGCTGTTTTATTGCCCTTTTTGGAGGTAGGAGGCAGTGCCTTTCCACGTTCCCAACTCTGCCAATCGGCTTAGGGCTTTTGCTTCAAGGGGAGAACTAGGGCTTGGGGCTACAGTATTCATCCACATGCCTCCTGGTTTCAGCCCTGTGGAGGGTGCTGGGGATCAGATCCTGGGTTTCAGCTGTGAGGCCCTATGGCCCCCTTGAGAGGGCTTGTGAATTTTCAGTTGAGAACTGGTTGGTTAGAAGGGTGAGCCACTGAATGTATTGTATTGTTCTTTTGAAAAGGAGCAATGTTAATACTAAGCTAGTGTGTGCTCATGTCTGTTGCAGTCTACAGCAGATTAGGGGCCTGCAAACATTTAATAGTCAGACCAAACTCCTTTGAGCCATCTTGCTCTGAAACTGAGCTCGTCTTAGTACAGGGTAGAGATCCTGCTCTGCTTGCCTATATGAGTTAACTTAGTGTGGTTTTTTTTTTATCATTTCTAGAATGAACTCAGAACATTATTTGGCTCGTGCATGATTTTTAATTTTCTGTATCTATTTTACAAGATAATTATTTACAAACTTCTTGTAATTATACTTTTTTAAATTTAAAAATCTAAGGACATTTTGGGAGAAAAGAGAAAAATGGTTGGCGTTCGCAAGGCAGGAATGGGGCAGAAAATGTACACCATCGAGGGGGAGGATACCATGGTGGAGCTTCCCGCGCTCGAAACAGCACTTTCCACTCTGGAAAAAGCCAAGGACTTCTGCATGAAAATAACATACCTGACAATGAAACTGGGAAAAGGGAAGACAAGGAAGAGCCCAAGCAATTTGAGGCTGAGGATTTTGTAAGTTACTTGTAATTGTAATAAACAAGGTTGCATTGTTTTTGCAAGTGCCTTTTTCTCCATTATGCAAGCTACTTTGAGGTTTCATCGGAGTTCATCTTGTACAGAGATCACCTTTTCCATAGGTAAGAGGGTACTAGTGGTTTAGCCATGAACATGTTTCTATTCTTGCCTCCTTTTATTATTGTGCTTAGTACTCATTTAATTTGTTTATAGATGATAGTTTTGGGATTTAGGTCTGTTCCAAATCTTCCTCTACAATATTTTACAGTAATTTACCCTGGCGAGTACTACACAATACAGTCTACGCAACTTTTTCAGAATTTGGGAGTAGAATAACTAAGTAGTCTTTCTGACATATAGAAATTCAGGCTGGAAACCACCTCTTGAGTTTTGAAACCTGGGAATTGCAGGATGTAAGAGTATTTGAGCCTTCTTGCTCTGGATGACCAACATTTTTCTCCTCCTTTGCTGGATGGCCCCACAAGATGGGATTGATTGCAGTGAGCAAAGCTCATTATGAAGAAATGATGAAGAGGTCTTAGGCACCAGAAGCAAACAGTACTTTTCATTTAGCAAAAGTATTTCTCTGTTTTAGAAACAAAATTGGGCCTATCCTCAGTGCTGTCTAAGGACTGATCTCCTTTGACAAAAGATCTTGCATTTGAAGTAATTTTAGTGTGATTCTCCAATATTAAATTTACTGCAAATCAGTCTTGAAATATGAACCAACTAAGCAATATTAAAAAAAATCCCTTTCCTTTCAGCCCTCTTTGAATCCTGAATATGTGAGAGAACCAAACCAGAATAAATCTTTAGCAGCAGGTGTGTGGGGTAAGTACTTTTGCCTGTTTTGATAGAAAATGTAGTAAAGGTTTGGAGATGCATGAATGTGTTTAAGGGTATAACAATACTATTTTGTGCAAAACACATACCTACTTTGAAGTCAAAAGGACTCTAAACCAGCAACAAAAATTATTACAGGTCTAGGAAACATGACCTAAGAGGGAAGACTGAAAGAACTGGGCTTGTTTAGTTTAGAAAAGAGAGGACAGAGGGGACATGATCGCAATTTTCAAATATCTAAAAGAATGTTACAAGGAAGAGGGTAGGAAAAATTGTTCTCCTTGGCCTCTGATAATAGCACAAGAAGCAGTGGGCTTCAATTGCAGCAAGGGAAGTTTAGGTTGGACATTAGGAAAAACTTCCTAACTGTCAGGGGTGGCTAAATTGCCTGGGGGATCGGGGTTGTAGATCTCCATCACTGGAAATATTTAAGAGCAGGTTGAAGAGACATCTGTCAGGGATTTTTGGTGAGGGGTCACTCCAAGATTTTGGAAAGTGGTCAAGGGCCATGCTTTTCTGTGAAGATTTGGGGTCTAGGATGGAGGTTGCGTACAGAAGGATGCATGGGGTAAGGGACTTAGGTGCAGGATGGTGTGAGGTTTGAGAGGGAGTTTGGGTGAAGGAAAGGGTTGTGACCTGGGTCAGGGGATTTGGGTGCAGGGTCTGGGCGGATGTTTGGGTGTGGGAGAGGATTCTGGCCTGGGGTAGGGGTATAGGAGGGGGTACAGAGCCTGTGGAAGGGAACCTGGGAGGGGCTGGGGGATGTAGAGGGTTTAGATGGTGACCGGAAGGAGGGTGTTGGGGTGTAGGAGGAGGCAGGCTCTGGCTGGGAGGTGCTTACCTAAGCATCTCCTTGCCAGCATCCTCAAGGCAGGCTGAGCTCCCTGCCTGCTGCAGCCCCAGATCACTTAGAGCTTCAGGCTGTTCCGTCCATGTGACTCTCAGCTCCAGGAGGGAGAAGAGGCTTGTGCTGCCACCATCCCCCAGGCCTATCTCTCAGCTCCTGTTGGCTGGTTTCCAGCCAATAGGAGCTGAGGATTGGGCTAGGGGTCAGACGACCACACACAGCCTCCCCCTTCCTCCAGAGCAGAGATCCACAGGACTGCACTTTAAACCTGTGGGAGCTGTGTGCCTGAGGGTCCTGGCAAGGTGGTCTGCAGGCTGGCTCTGGCTCCTGGGGCCATATTTTGCCCAGCCCTAATCTAGATGTTGCTTGGTCCTGCCATGAAGGCAGGAGACTGGACTTGTTGATATTTTGAGGTCCCTTCCAGTTCTAGAATTCTATGATTCTATATTAAAATGTAGTCTTTTCCTTTATGAAAAAGTGCCTTTTGCCTACAGTTATGTAACAGAACACTCATTTGTAAGCACTGGCATTGTCTGTACACTTATGGTGAGAAGGCATCTTTTGGTCAAGGGGGTTGCTAGAATTTGGTCTCCAGGCAGGACACATGATGAGGAGGGGACAGTTGATTAAGTGTCGTGACTGCCAGTGAGAGATCTTATATAAGAATACTTCTGGATCGGTCTTTGAAGAGATGTTTGAAGTAAGCTTTAGAGGGAAGTTCCTTTATGGAGGTCTGGCAAGAGGCCTAAGGGATAGCTGCCTATGGGAAGATTGCATGTCTCTGTATCTTGCTGAAAGTTGGAAAGGCTTCTGGTACCTGGGAACAAGAACTTTGAGTCACTGGGCTTGTAATCTGTTTAGGGTATTTTTATGGCTTTGAAGCCTGATCTGAGGAGAACTGAATTGTAATTTGTGCTTTACAGCCGCTCTCCAAGTTACGAACCAACATTTCGTCCGTAACTCTTAAGTGTTCGTAACTCAGATCCCATAGAGTTACGTGGCAACTGCGCTGTTCGTAAGTGCGGATCGCCGTTCGTAACTTGGATCTGCATTTACGACCGCTTTGGTCATAAGTGCAACTGGTCGTAAGTGGAGGTGGTCGTAACTCGGGGAGCAGCTGTATTTTACTATTTCCAACTGCCTGCCAGCTTACAGTTTGAGCTACAGAAAATTGTTCACAGTAACAGGTTGACAAATACAGGAAATGCCTGCTGTTTGAAGAATAAAAGTTTGTGTAATTTAAAGGTCTGCCTTTTTTAGGAACAGCACGTTCTGTTAAACATACATAAAAGCTACTATTTAGAAACAGATTTATTGTTGGCAAAGCTGAAACCTGAGAAATGAGCGCTGTTTTTCAGTAGTGTGCTCGTTTGCTAATTCTTCGTTACTTTAGCTGTTCAGTTTCACATCTTTTAGAATGCGACACAGGCCAAGATTTTAAAATAAGTTCCTACAGTTAGGCTAGTAAATTCTTTGGATCAGCTTCCACTTTTGAAAATCAGCCCACTTATATATCTGTCCAAAAAGTCAGCAAGTGTTTAATTGTGTAGCTAAAGCAGAAGAGGTTATAGCAGAGGTGACCAAACTTGTTGGCCCCCTGAGGCAATCTGATGGTATTCAGAAGTTTGAGAGTTGGGGCTCAGGATGTCTGTCAACTCCTAGGGAGATGCCTCAAGCTCCAAGATCCCTACCTTCCCTGAACAGAAGTCCCTATTCCACTACCCCACTACAATGCAGATGACCCGGGCTCCCTCCTCCAGTCTGGTAGGTGGAAAATGGGGGGAAGGCTATGCAAGACTCTCTTCAATGGTAAAAGAGCTGTATGCTGCTAGCAAGCCACAGTTTGGCTACCCCTCTAGTAAAGCTAATACTAGAACTTGGCAAACTTAGTAGCATCAATAGGACAGGAGACAGTTCAGTTCGATATGAAGAATAGGATTTCCAAGGTGTAGGCTACAGTCAGATTGATCTTAAGAAAGGCAAGAAATAATTTGCCAAACACATGAGCATAAATTACAATATGATAACTTGCTGTTGCAGTGCATTACTTGATTTTAAAGGGAAACGGGAGCTTTCATACCTCATTACATTCTTGCACTTGCAAACTTTTGGAAATCTTAAATTGGAATAGGAGAAAGCTTCAAATTAACAGAAAATTAACCTGCAAGACAATTGGAAGGATAGCTCTGTTTAATACTATGTATTAAAATCTAGATCAACATGGAATATAATTTTTGTTCCATTATTTTTATTTAGTTTGTAAATATGGCACAAGAGATTATTCCATGCTCTGAATGATTTCACATCATACTAAATTCTACAAGAACAAAATATTTAACTGTCATATGACAGAGTTCAATTAATTTACTAACACTCACCAACAATAAAAATAACAGCATAATGATTTTACTTTTAGGTAGCTTTTACTAGTGTATTCCATTTAAACAGGTTTTGCTGATGCTACTCTTACTTTCCATGTGAACACTTAGGCCATGTCTACACTGAGAGATTGTCATGTTTATTAACATTGTTTTTTTTTAAGCACCCAATTTTGTAAAGTCGAAGATGCATGTCCCACTGTGCACAAGTTAGAGTAGTGAAACTTTGACAGAGATGCACTGTGTGAGTAGCTTATCCCACAGTTCCTGCCACCTCTTTGCACTCTGGAGTAGGCGCCCATTGCGTGATGGGATAAAGATGATGCAGCAGGTGGTTCTGGGTATAGATAGCATCCCATAATACACTCATTTCTCTCCCCTCAGCTTGAAAGCAATGGCAGACAATCTTTTTTCAGGTCCATTTTTCACTGGTCACTCATGCAGATGCCATAGCAGAGTAAGCCTAGACCTTGTTCAGCTGTGAAGTGCTATGGTGATCATTGCAAACACATTGCGTCTATGCTGTGGAATGTCCAGAGCCTAGCCAGGAGCTTCTGGAGTGAGGAATAATGTGAGGGAGGCCATGAACAGACACCTGTATGAAACACTTGAATGGAGCAATTGGCAGATGCTGGAAGCAAGTTGATCTTAACAACAAATCCTTTTGACACAGTGGAATGTTGGTTCTGGTGCTGAGACGCTGGTGGGACTGCATAGTTATGTAGCTGTGGGACAATCAGCAGTGTCTGTAAAACTTTTGCACATGTAAGGGCACTTTCATGGAACTTCGCAAATTGCTTGCCCTTTCCCTGAAGTGCAAAAATATTAGAATGAGACCCTCTCTGACAGTTGAGAAGCAAATAGCTATAGCTTTTTGGAAGCTTGCAATGCCAGACAGGTAGCTGTCAGTTGGAAATCAATTGGGAGTAGGGAAATTAACAGAGGGCTGTTGTGATCAAGGTAGCCAAGTCAATTAATATCTTCTGCTACAAAGGCTAGTGACTATAGAAAACATGCAGAATGCAGTTTCCCTAACTGGTGGGGTGATAGATGGAACGTACATCTCCATTTTGGCCAAACAGTACATAAATTGCTAGTGGTACTTCTGATGGTGTTGCAGGTGCTGGTGGATCATAAGGACCATTTCACTGACATAATGTGGGATGGTCAGCAAAGGTGCATGATGCACCATCTTTAGGAACTCCTGTCTCTTTAGAAAGTGGCAAGATGGAATTTTCTTCCCAGACCGGAAAATTACCGTCAGTGGCATTGAAATGTCAACCGTGATACTTGGGAGACCCAGCTCTTCCCCTGGCTCCTATGGTTCATGAAGCTGTATACAGGCAGCCTGGATTGCAGTAAGGCAGTGTTTCTCAAACTGTGCTCCGCAGAGCCCCAGGCTCTTTGAGACCTCTCCAGGGGCTCCGTGAGGTTGACAAACTGGAAACATTGATCGGTACAGTACATACAATCAGTGGACCGCTGGGGCTCCGCATAAATTTTTACGCATGTAAAGGGCTCCGGAGCCCAAAAAGTTTGAGAACCGCTGCAATAAGGAGTAGTTCAACTATCAGCTGAGCAAGTGCAGGATGGTGGCAGAATGTGCTTTTGCATGTTTAAAAGGAAGGTTTTGAAGTTGATTGACTAGGTTAGATCTCAGCAAAAGCAACATTGCCCTTGTGTCAGCATGTCGGGTGCACCACAATATCTGAAAGTAAGGGGGAAAAGTTTATTCTAGAATGGGTGGTTAGGGATGTTAAAAA